CTGTTTCCCATCCTTCATGCTCTCCTAGCTTCACCAGCCTTCCATTGTTCCTTGAAAATGCCAGACACATTCCTACTTTGGCATAGAGGTCCACTTCTAAATCCAAATTAGAATACTCTCATAAAAATGTGATGCCTTGATCAATACTAATTTTTAAATGCTCTTATTAAAGGGATTCATTATGTAATACTTCATTTCCCTGGACTATTTTCTAAAATGTAATGGAAACAATTATGGGATGAAAAGGAAAATGACATAATTGAGTTCTGCAATGTCTTATATGTACAGAATACCTAATAATGAGTAGCCCAGCCAAGACTATCCACACTTCTAACAAATAGTTACCTAGGACATGCTAAGTACTAACATCTACTGCAGCACCATAGGTGGGTTCATCCTAGCTAAGTAGCATGGGGCTAAATGAACTTGAGAATACAGGTCTTACTTAGTTTCACTTATCAATTAATGAATCACAACATCACAAGTAAAGAAACTAAGGGGAATTTGGAGATGACTCCTCTAGTAAGAGCACTGGCTTTGGAAGCATGATGACCCAAGTTCAAATTCTCATGTGAAAGCCAGTATGGCTGAATATGCCTGTAACCCTAGCACTGGGAGCAGAGTGAAGACAGGTAAATCACCAAGAGCCTGGGGGTCAGCCAGCCTAGCCAAAACAGTGAACTAACTGATAGCTCTTTGAGAGACCCTGTCTCTAGGCAACAGGGCAATGGAGGATACCTGAAGTCCTGCTCTGGCTTCTGTATGGGCACACGTAGGGGTTGTACACCCACATACTCACATGCAGGGACCGCACATATACCATATATACACACTCATCTTTTAAATGTCATATCAATAGTTACAGAAGCCACTTTTGATACAATTCAGCTTTCAGTCATGAAAGGGGAAGCATGAGGAAATTAGAAATAGAAGCAATCTGACAAGAGATACCCACAAAAAGAACTTCTGTCAGCCATTACATAATGTTGTGACATGATGAAAGCTTTCTAAGATCCAAATAATATAATTATATGTCCAACCAATGTCCTAACCAGTGAGATAAGACAAGAAAAGACTTAAAACACACAAGAATCAGTAAGTAAGCAAGAAAAGTCATCATTCATAGATGAGATGATTGGACCAGAGAAAATCCAAGAGAATGTTCAGATAGACTTCTAGAATGAGTAAGGGTGATTATCAATGATGATGAGTACACAACACACACAACATTTAAGTTTTCTACATTAACAGTAAACATTGCTTAGAAAAATAAAGATACTCAGTAGAATAGATTTTGAAATCAAGTGTCCAGGAAAAAGCATAATAAAAGATGTAAATAAGCCATAAAAGATCATCAAAAGCATAGCAGAATTTAATAAGCATGTATGTATACAAAACATTGTATGATAAAGACACAAGTCCTCCCCTAGAGGACTTAGTAAGCATAATGTACTAAACATAACAACAAAAACATCCCAGAAGCATTTTATGAGAGACAAGATGACTTTCAAATTTATATGGAAATGCGAACATTCAAGAATAAGAATATTGAAGAAAAGGAGCTATGCAGGAACTCATTCATCAACTATGATTTGCTATAAAATAAAGCAATTAAGACTTTTAATAATGAAGCCGGGCCTTGGTGGCTTATGCCTTTAATCTTAGCACTCAGGAGGCAGAGGCAAGTGGATCTCTCTGAGTTTGAGGCCAGCCTGGTCTACAGAACGAGTTCCAGGACAGGCTCCAAAGCAATGAGAAACCCTGTCACAAAAAAACAAAAGAAAAAAAGAATTTTAATAAGGGGATGGCATCTCTGGAGACTCAAAAGATGGCTCAGCAGCTAAGAGTTCTACCACACAAGCATGAAGACCAGAGTTCAGATCACAGCACCCATATAACTAGAGAAGTCTGTCAGATGCCTGCAACCCCAGCACTGAGTAGGAAGTGAAAGCAGGAGGATTGCCGAAGCTTGCTGGCCATCAGCAGAATTTAAGACATTCAAACTCCAGGCTCAGACCCTGTCTCAAAGAAACAAGGGAAGAATGATCCAGGAGAACCCCAGTGTCTCCTTTCAGCCTCCTGAGCCTCCTGGCATGCACTTGTGTAAGAGTACTCAGACACACTGATGCAAGTATACTACACTTCTAAAACACACACACACACACACACACACACACACACACACACACAGTCAAGGGACCACAAAAGACAGTTCCAAAATTAACATACATTTATGGACCCTTGATTTTGATAAGAGGGCATCTTTTCAATAAGTGATATTGGGTCATGTGATTAAAAAGGAAACTTTTTACCATATGCAAAAAATGGATTATAAGGAAATTGTAGTTATTTCACATGAATATCAGCCACAAAATATAATTAAATCTCCTAGTGACTAAAATACTGTCTTCAGGGCCTGTGGGTAGGCAAACATTGCTGGAATATCTACAACAACAAAAAGAGCATTTCCAAGGTAGAAAAAAATAGAGCTGGGGAGAGGGCTCAGTCTTTATAGGGCTTGCTCTGCAAGCACGAGAACTGGAGTTCAGTCCCCAGAACTTTGTGTGAAAAGCCAGCATGATGGTGCTCACTTGTAATCCGGTACTGGGGGGGCAGAGACAGGCAGGTGTCTGAGACTTTTTGGTCAACCAGCCAGCTTATTCAGCAATCTCCACATGCCAGTGAGAGACCTGTCTCAAACAGTCAGATGGATGTCTGAGGAACTATATGTGAGGCTGGCCTGTAGCTTCCATAAGCACATACACACCTCACCCCACATGACCATAGAGACACAATGAGAAAACATTTACAAAAGACTACATTAAAATGAAAGTATTCTACTTCTCAACGGCATCAAAACATGCCATTTCCAATGTGTCTAACCAAGAAAGAACTTCTATCAAAACACAGAAATGACTATCGTAAGAGAGAAACAATACAGAAGAATGGTTGGGAAGACTTGGACCCTCCACACAATGTGAATGTTCAGTAAAGACATAGAAAGGTGAAATAATTTTTCTTTTTTCTTTTTTGAAATCATTCTCTTTCAAGGAAATAGAATGTGAAATAAAAGAAGAGACACCTCTTAAAACCTCCTGGAAAGAATAAGGAGAAGCAGATTGCCCCAGGAGAGGGTGTTACACAAAGCACTCCTGTATGATGACAGCAATTCTAATTGGTGTGGGTGTTTAGGGAATCAGCTCCTATTTCCTAGGAAAGCTGACCAGATCTGTAACTTTGAACCAGGAACCTCATGTTCAGTAGGAGTGCATATACCTGTGCACATGAACCAGAAGATGCAGCGTTCAAAATCAGACCAAACCAATTCAGGAGACTAAGGAGCTGGCCAGTGATGCTATATTCCTTGAATTGGATTATGAAGGTGTTAGAGCCTCTCACTAACTCTTTAAAGAAACCTGGAGGCAGAAACTGAAGCAGACTGTGGAGGAACACTGCCTCCTGTCTTCTCTGGCTTGTTGCTCAGCTATCTTTTTTTTTTTTTTTTTTTCATAGTCCACACCACCTTCTAGGAATTCATGGCCCACTATGGGCTAAACCTTTACACATCAATTAGCAATTAAGAAAATGGCCCCACAAACAGCTTCAGGCCAGTCTGATGGAGTCAATTCCTCAGTCAAGCTTTTCTCTTCCTGGGTGTGCCTAGATTTGTGCCACATTGACAGAAATTAACCAGCACACAAGTCTTAACAGATACCATTTGTGAATTGATTTCCTCCTGTTACAACACACTGCAATTGCTGGAAAGGACAGTACTGTATCAATAAAAGAAGGCAGGGGCTGGAGAGATGGCTCAAGGGTTAAGATCACTAGCTGCTCTTTCAGAGGACCCAGGTTTGGTCCAGCACCTTCTTGATGGCTCACAAACACCTGTAACTCCATTCCGGGAGATGAAGCACCCTCTTCTGACCTTCGTGAGCATTAGGGATACAAGCAGTGCACAGATACACATGCTGACAAAACACCCATACCTGTAGAATTTAAAAAATAAATTAATAATAAAAGAAATCATACTGTTGGGGTTAGCAGTTATTGGACATTCTACTGGATACTTTGAATTAGCCACCATGGAAACAAAATTCAAAAAGAGTTTTCTTTTTGTCAAGTCAATATATTTTTAAAAATCTTTTAACAATGTATTTGAAGGTGAAGAAGAAGGGAGAAAAAAATAATAAAACCAAATTTTATTTGGAAAAATAATAAAATTTAATTCTCGTAAACTAATACTTTCTGAATGTACCATCTAAGTTTTAGGCATTAGATTATGGCTGGATTTTTCAATACACCTACCAATGTATTTTTTAATTAAATGTGACCACACTTAGCAAATTACTGTATGATTTATTCTTACATCTAAGATAGATGCTTTAAATTAACCTATTCATTAGAGAACAAAAAGCTTGCATGCCATTTATTTTTATAAAGTAATTGCTAAGATATCCAAACTAGAAGGTTATCGGATGAGTATCGCCCCAACAGCCTCATAGCCCTGCATCTGTATTTTTTTTCAGAATTAAGCACATTAAAAAATACTTTTGCACCTTCCCATAAACTCCCCACATATATGCCAATGTGTTTATCTTTCGTTTGGGATTGGTTTGTTTTTTGCATATTTCGAGACCATATTCTGCAACTTCTTCTTTAATCAGTATAGTTGCAGCATGAATACATTTTCATACATAAATGTCTATATTATTACTTTTTTGGTTTTTCAAGACAGGGTTTCTCTGTGGCTTTGAAGGCTGTCCTTTGTGGCTTTGAACTAGCCCTTGTAGACCAGGCGGGTCTCGAACTCACAGAGATTCACCTGCCTCTGCCTCCTGGATGCTGGGATTAAAGGCATGTGCCACGACCGCCCGTCTATATTACTCTTTTAAGTATAATATCTACCTTGTTTATAAAACTTGTATAATGTGCCAATATAGTGAAATGTCATAATATATTTAGCATTTCCCTTACTAAAAGGTATTTATATTGTTTCTAGGGTTTTTTTTTCATGTATTTGAGACAGTACATGTAAAGGATCCACTTTCTCGATGGTATGTATTTTTATATTAAAAATAATTCAAACAATTATCTTCTGTGAGCACTTACCAGAATCAGATACCTTGACACACTAAGTCTGGGACTCCAGCAGGGGAACCTTCATTCCCCTTCTTGTCCTCCATTCCAGGGTCTCCAGACTGGCTCTCTCCTCTCTACCTGCCCTCATCCCCTAGGGCCTCTGCCTATTGGTGCAGACCCAGGGTCCCTCTAGTTCTTCTCCACCATTCCTCTCAGCCTCCCCTCTGGCCTATCTGTCTCTGCTCTATCATGAGTCCCTGCAGACCTGTAGAACTTGGCTAGAACTCAAGGACTCCACAGATGCCACACTTTTATAAGACCCAGATAGGGAAACAGCAAGCCCCCAAAATTGAATAGCCACCCTACAAAAACAAAATATCTACATCAATGAAGTACCTCAAACATCTTAACTCCAGATACCAACCCCAGCATAGAAACACAAACATAAATAACCAAGATAATATGTCTCTTTCAAAAGCCAGAAACTGTTGTGTTAGGCCCTCAGGAAAGCAATTTAGTTGAAGCCTAGACAAGGACTTACACTGTTATGTCATAAGACAATGACTTATTTTAAAAATATCAATTATGAATATGTTCAAAGACTTTAAAAAGGATATAAATAAGTAACAATGAAGATCATAAAATCACAAACTGCTAATTGAATTAAGTAATAAAAACAATTCAAGACACAAAAGTAGAATTTAACAATGAAATAGAACCACTTAAGGGAACCCAAACTGAAATAAAACTGGGAATGAAAAATTCAGTATGCCAAACAAAAAACTCAGAGGTAAACCTCATTAACAGATTAAAAGACATGAAAGATAGAATTCAGGTCATGAAGGCAAGGTACAGGAAATGGACAACTCAGTCAAAGAAAGCATTAAATCTAAAAAATGTAGGTACAAAACATCTACAAACTCTGGAAAGAGAATAAACTGATGTTGAAACAGAAAATATTTTTAATAAAATTGTAGAAGAAAAATTTCCCGATCTAAAGAATGAAATGCCTATCAAGGTACAAGAGGCATACAGAACTCCAAAAAAGTACCAGAAAAGAAGCTCCCACTGACACATAATAATCAAACCACTAAATGAACAGAACACAGAAAGGATATTAAAAACTGCATGGGAAAAAGACTAAGTCATTTATACAGGTAGGCCTGTTAGAATATTACCTGACTTTTCAATGGAGACTCTAAAAGTCAAAAGGGTATGGGCAGATGTTCTACAATTTCCAAGAGACCAAAAACTGTTATACTTAGCCCAAACTATTGTACTCAGAAAAACTATCAATTTCAATCAACAGAGGAAGAAAAACTTTTAATGATAAAAATTTAAGCCATTTCCACCAATCCAGCTGTACATAAGGCACTAGTCTGAGAAGGCAAAAACTATTCCCAAGAGATTACAATGAATAAATTATCACAGATAGTAATTAAAAATGGGGGACCCACAACAACAAAGTTATTGTTGTTAATGGGAATTAATAGTCACTTCTCATTAATAACTCAGTGGTCTCAGTTTGCCAATAAGAAGACACAGACTAAAAATAATGACTAGACACCAGGATGCATCTTTTTGCTGTATCCAAGGAACATATCTCACCACCAAGGACAGATGTCATCTAAGGGTAAAAAGATGGGGAAAAAAGTATTCCATGCAAGTAAACCAAGAAGCAAGCAGGTGTAGCTAGTTTAGTACCTGATAAGACAGGCTTCAAACCAAAACTAATCTAGATAGAGAAGGATACTGCATACTCATTAGAGAAAAAAACCCATCAAGAGGATATTATACTTTGAAACATTTATGCACCAAACAAAAGAACATACAAATTCATAAAATGTACATTATTATAGCAAAAATGACTTGTTGACACTAACATGTATGGATGATTCCAATACCTCACTATCACCAATAAACAGGTCATTCAAATAGAAAAACAGAGAAATGCTGGAGTTAAATCATAAATCAGTTAGACCGACTGAACATTTTACCCAATGACTAAAGAATTTACTTCTCATGAGTCATTGGAAGTCTTCCCCAAACCAACCACACGTTGATATATAAAACACGAGAGATACAAAAATAGTGAAATGTCACCCTGCATCCATGACTACCATGGATTAAAGCTGCATATCAAAAACAGTAGAAATAGAAAAAAAAGTATACAAACTAATGAAAGCTGAACAATTCCCTACTAAAGGAAAATTGGGACAAGACAGAATTCAAGAAGAATTGAATGAAAGTGCAAACACCATATACCCAAACCTATAAGACACAGAAGGCATTTCTAAGAGGCAAGTTCATAGCACTGCGTGCTTATATAAAAACGGAGAAATCCCATATTAATAACTTAATTACACACTTGAAAGTTCTAGAAAAGCAAGACAAATAATATGCAAAAAAGAATAGATGGGAATAAGTAATCAAATTCAGGGTTGAAATAAATGAAATAGAAACAAAAAATACAGTAATCAATGAAACAAAGAATTGGTTCTTGTAGAAAATCAAGATTGACAAGACTTTATCAAAATAACCAAAAGATGGAGAGAGAAGATCCAAATTAATAAAATTAGAAATGAAAAGTGAGACAACACAACAGACACTGAGGAAATTCAGAGAATCATAAGAACAAACGTGTATTTTACCAAACTGGTAAACCAAAAGGAAACGTATTAATTTCTTGATACATATGACTTACCAAATTTAAAATACTATGAAACAATTTAAACAGACCCACGACCTCTAGTGAAATAGAAGCAATAATTTAAAATCTCCCAACCAATAAAAGCCCAGGGTCAGATGAATTCAGTGTAGAAATCTACCAGACCTTCAAGGAAGAAGGAATGTCAATACTCCTCAAATTATTTCACAAAACAGAAACTGAAGGAACATTTTCTAGTTATTTTACAAAGCCAGTATGACTCTGACACAAAAAAACATACAAAAACCTAACAAAAACAAAAATTATAGATGACTATAGCTAAGGACATAAATGCAAAAGATCTCAATAAAATACATGTAAACCAAATTCAAGAACACATAAACAATTATCTGCCACATTGTTTGCTCCTTACCAGAGATACATGAAAAGCTTGACATGTAAATAAAAATGTAATTCACCAAATAAATAGACTAAAGACAAAAACATGTTCATCTCATTAGATGCAGAAAAGGCCTTCGATGAGAACCAACACCACTTCATAGACAAGACTTAAGGATCATTGTGGAAGAGGGTGGAAAGATTGTTAGAGACAGAGGTTCCTGTGAGGTTGTGTCTTCTGGAAATGTCAGAACCTACACCCATAAAGTCTCACCAAAGTGACTGCCTAAGTAGGAGCTGAAAGAGGATGACAATAGACATGCTAGGTGGTTGAGGGAAAGCCCAACAGTCCTTTGCCCTTCATTAAGGACTGCAGGTAACTAAGGATTCTGAGAGAAAGTAATAGTCTTTGTGAGGGAAGAGTACATCAAGTGGATATCCAATACCAAGTAGTGAGCCCTGAAAACATATATCCAAGTAACCCATAGACTGCAAAGGTTGTGTTTATGTAATATATATATATATATATATATATATATATTATGTAA